CGACATGGTGCGTCGGGAGCGAAGCGATTCATCTTTTCTTTTTTTTTTCTCGATACCGTCGTATGGAGATGGCAAGGGGTCAATGCATGCGACCGACACACGGCTCTCCGTGCAAAACTAGAAAAAATGGCTGAAAGAGAATGATGGAGTGTGCAAGCCGCCTGCGTAACGGTAGAACAACCAGCAAATGTGATGGCAACAAGAATAAGGAAAGCAGGTTTTGACAATTTTTATTTGTCAGGGAGAGGTGTTCACAGCGTTTTGCAAGTGTTACCGACAGATATATTATTATTTGTTACCTAAAATAACAGTGGTACCACTCATCACTATTACTAGGCCTCGTCGGTGGCGCCGGATAAAGATTAAGGTTTCGTCTCAGACCTTGAATGAAAGAATCCAATCGCCTAATGACGGCCACGTTGAGCTGCGAATAGGCCTTATTTTAGGGATCCTTGAGCAGGCAAGTAGTGTAACACGTATATAGACCATATAAGCCGGCTCGTTTAAAATAGAATTACTTACGTTCTAGGCACTCCGCTGGAACGAAGGGCAAAGCTTCGCGCGGTTCACTGACTCCTATACTTCGTCTCACCTTAGCATGGACTAACTGCGAAGGTTGTGCGAGCGCGAGCGGGTAGCCTTGTCTACCTTGACTGGAGCACTCGCTGCATGAGCGCTCGTGCAGCCGCCGAGGATTCATCCAAAGCAAATAGCTCGCGCTTTTAGCATGCGCGGCTAACAATAGTCCATGCTAAGGTGAGACGGAGTATAATGGTCTTATGGAGGCCTCTGGTCTTGGAAACACTTTAGAAGGATTTCTTATTACTCCTGTGATGAACTGAAGCAGAATGGGCAACCGTCAATACAACGAGACCTTCTTAGTATCAGCAGGAGCCGTCATATATCCTATTTTCTAGCCTTATTTTTCATGAAATGTATTTATTTGTTGCCGTTTTCGGGGGGGGGGGGGGGGGGGAGGGAGGGGGTGCAATTACTTGCTGAACGCTTGCTCCTATTGAGGTTCCACCACGGCTACTTTATAATTTCATAGATTACTTTTTGTTACAAGCAATGGGCAGGGTTCAGTATTAGTAACTACGATTCAGTAATTATCAGTACTTTTCGTGGCCTATGGTTAAAAACTAGGTAAGTATATCCGTAGGTATGTGCTATTACTTTGACGAATGTCTTTTCCACCAATACATTCAGTTTTGTTTTTTGAGATGCAAAAGGACTTTGGAATGGCTCAAGATGGCGTCGTACCAGAACACTGCAGTGGTGCTGCACATTTGCGCGCCTGTATTAATCTTACCAAATTAGGGCAAAAAATAACAAACGGATGGTATCGCCCATACTTTTATATTTTGACATGAATTTTTATTTTTTTTTTAATTTTGCTGGCAACTTTGAACTGTAGAACCTTAAGCATAGCCGCGGGCGAGGCGAGAGAGAACTTAAAAATTGTCCACGTGTTTCTGTTCAAACAAAGAAAGAGAGAGAGAGAAAGGGAGAGAGCTGGGACGTAAGGTCAAGATGTCAGGTCATGCAGATCCACGATGGCGGTCGTGTTGAGTTGGAAAACAATTTCTGTTTTGGATTAAACATATATTTAAGAAAACATTTTTTCTGAGATATATGGTATATCTAGATATATAATAATTTATTTTTTAGCCAAAGGTACATTACAAAAAGATTATGTTCATTTTAATTAACCACGGTGGTCACGAGCACTCTCGATAAGGAGGTAGCGCCATCTATCAATACGAGCACCAAACACGCCCCGCATCGGAAGTCGCCCTGCGTCGCCGTCTTCCGTTGACCCTGGCAAGTTTGTTCTTTTACAGAAAGGGAGGTACGCTTTGTAAGTTTTCATGAAAAAACCGACCTGTGAAATACACCTTTGATAAAAAGTTTAAATTGTTACGGACAGGCATCAATTTTTACGGTCCATTTTACATGGAGCATGGTGACTTGGGACACCCTATATATCTTCGACCGATTCGGCGAGACGCGTCAGCGTCACCGCCTGCTCGTCTTTCAGCATCTCACAACAAGCGCGACGCTAGCACGCGTCGACGTCAAGAAACCCGCGTCTGCTGCTTTGCGCCGTATACTCTCGCCGAGTTTGAGCACGTTTGCCGCTCGGTGCTGCTCGGAGATCCACTAACGGTGACGTAACACGTGTCACGCGGGCCCTTCTTTTAGGTGGTATCGGATGGATGGATACGACTGAACACTTTTAATCGGGCGGCGGCTCGGGCCACTTAGTCAAAGCTTTTAATTTAGACAATTAACACCGATTAAATTTGGAATTAATTAAGAATGACGAATAATTTTTTAATGCGATGTCACAGCAACTGTAGCCATCTAGCAGGTACTACTCTAGACTTATAGTCACGTTTGTTCCGCAAAAACCGTATATTATGGCAGATTGCCAATGATGTAAAAGGGATCGGTGGCCGAGAGGGCTATACTTCGTCTCACCTTAGCATGGACTATTGTAGCCGCGCATGCTAAAAGCGCGAGCTAGTTGCTTTGGATGAAGCTTCGGCGGCTGCACGAGCGCTAGTGCTGCGAGCGCTCCAGGAGCATAGCCTCCTATATACTGACAAAGCCTAGCAGATCGCCATGAGAAGCGGCCGCCGAAATGGAAACAGTGAAGCGGCGGACAACGGATGAGAGGAGAGCCACGTAACTAGCGCCCCGCTGCGGCGAGACGCCGAAATGCAGCGTCTCGGCGCTGCCGCGAGACGCTGCGGCGAGACGCGAGGACCTGAAAGTGTGTTTCGGGTCCTCGCCACTGCAAAAAGCCATTCCCCAAGAAATGGCTTTTTAATGCTCTGTGCTACCAGATCCTCGCGCTCCGAATCTGCGACCGCGCACTCTATGGCTCCGTCGTCGAACTGCCAGGCTTTGTGAGTATTGAGGAGGTTATGGCTCCCAGTCAAAGCAGTCGAAGCTAGCCGCTCTCGCTTGCACATTCTTCGCAGTTAGCCCATGCTAAGGTGAGATGAAGTATAGCACACACGAGTTCGAAGCACGTGGAGCGAAAGCTCGCGCTGCAGAACCCAGGAATCCTGCGTTCAATCCCCACCCCTTCTCTTTTCGATTGGATGAGCATCCTACCGGCGTGCGGTTGGGAATCACTACTGCGTGATGAACGCTAAAGACCCCAGGCTAGCGATTTTACTGCACTGGTAAAATTTCTAATCTACAGCTGAGGCACAAGACGTCCATGATTTTTTCTCTTTATGTTTTTCATGTTCAGCTGGCCCCATTCACAAACAAGGCGTCCATTGAGGCTAACTTCTGGAAACAAATTTTGTTAGCATTTGTGATTTTCTGTTTCACTTCCCGAGCAGCATTCTCATCAAGGTGGTGTTCCTCATACAAGCCCTAGATGGTTTTGATGAACCCGTGCCTTTACCTTGTTTTATGTGTTCCTACAATGAACATATATCATTATTATTATTATTATTATTATTATTATTATTACTATTATATTTGTCAATTATATCCCTTTCGTTATCTCACAATCATTATTCCTCCAGTACGCCGATGACATTGAAATTTACCGTGAAATTCGAACTTTTTTCGAAGTTCGAAGTTCGAATTCGAACTGAAAAATTCGAATTCGAGCTTGCAGCTAGGCTATGCGTCGGTGGTATGTAACCGAATCTGTAAGACCAATTCACTGAGAATTGAACGGGTGCAGCACAAATTCATCAAATTCATCTCATTTTTGAAATATAGCTATTGGGGTAGAGATGAGCAAACTTTGGATTATGAAGCCCTTTTGGAACGTGTTGGATTACCTGACCTACATCGACGTAGAGAAAAAACGGATTTGGTGTTTTGGTTTAAAACCTTTTACAGCCTAATTGACACCCCAAGTCTCTTATCTGAAGGGAATATTAGGATTAATAGAGTACCTACAAGACTCAATTAACCTTTTTATACATCTAGAGAATTTAGTCATTTGTGTCAAATTCACAGGTTATTGGATTGTCACAATGGTTACGCTGAAAACCTGGACATATTCGACTCCAGCCGAGAGAATTTCGACCACTCAATCAAAAACCTATTTCAATTAAGGCAGGGCTGAAAGGTACTCACAAGTTAGTGAATCGCGCACAAATTTTATTATTCCTTGTGGTTTCGTAGACACGTTGTTTTACTCTTGAAGCTCATGCAACCGACATTTTTGCTATCAATATTAGTGGCCATGTAGCCCTTACAACATTTGCTATAATTATATTAATGATTACAATTTGATTACAAAAATGATTAATGGTATGAGGGCTACATGGGCACTAATATTTGCAAGAAACTTTGTCAGTTTACACTTTCTTTTTTCTTCTCTTTGCGTGATATACCCCCCGGACTATATGCATCATTACGGCGCACCAACGTATGAACTTCCAACATGAATATTTACCTTGTAAATTTGTGCGTCGCTGATTCTGATGTTTATGTGTTTTTGTCTAGTTATGTATTTTTATGTTTTATTTTGTAATGTGAGTGTACTCCATGTTTTTTAAGTGTTTGAACGTCCGGTGTGCCGGGACCAAGACCGAACGGTTGTTCCTGGACATCAAATAATATTGATTGACTGATTGATCACTACTACAAATAATACTGCTACTACTACCAATACTAATAATAAATGATGATGATGATGATTCTGTGGCGAGCTTTGTGTTAACGCGGCCGCTTCACATGCAACGGACCCAAGTTTGAATCCCGACAGCGGCAGGCGATCTTATTTCAAGCAGTCGCAATATCGGGACGGACGCCGTAGTACGCACTATTACAACATCAACAACTACAACTACTTCTGCAACTACAACGACAACGGGCGTCATTTACAGTGGTGTGAAGAGCCCATATAACAGCTATCGTTGTAAAACGGGCTTGGGAATTATTTTTCGGGGTCTATCGGTAATTACCGATAACACAAGAACCTATAGTTACGAGGCTGTTGCACATTTCTCTCACAGGCCGGACCGTGCCGCTGCTGCCTGAGGCGGGGCCAGCCGCGCCCCCGGGGATGCCATGCGCCGCATCAAAACCAGGTTCCTCTGTCGTCGGTCTCCGGGTCCCACGACGCCCACGGCCATCCGGAGACAACCTAAGGCCAAAGTCGTCACCCTCCGGTGAGTACCTGCCATGCGGGTCGGGACAAATGAAGCCTAAAGTTTGTGGCGTTTGGCGACACAATCGCGGCGTCACCGCCGCAGTCCATCCAATCAGCGCGCTTTTTTTAATTTAGGCCCCGACTTCGTGCTTGAGGAGGGCCCTTGGCATATAGACCAACACGCTGTTTACAAAAAAGCCCGCGTTTGCCTACGCCGGCTGTAGGTACAGCGCGGGCGCAGAAACCAGATTCGCCCGAGGCGAAGCATCTGCGCACGCGCAGTGCCGACAGCAGCGCCACCATGGTTGCGTGACGTCAGAGTTGAGTTGGTCCATATACCTTTCGAGCACTTGTCACCGAGGCTCTAAAAATGCCGAGTCACTGGGCTCTGGACGCATGGATGCGAGGCATCTGATACTTGGCAGCGGAAAACTAATGCCCATGCTCCAAACGCCTTTTACACACTAGCAGACGGAAATGGCAGCGCGCAGGAGGCGATCATTAAAAAGGTGTGCGTTGGCGCGCAGCTACGCTTCGAAAGCTATGCGCAGAGAAACTGAGAGAGGAGACGAGAACGCGCGGGGACGTCAGAACGCCGAGCTCTGATTGAAGCGACTAGTGGGTAGACCTAAAGTTATAGCTGCCTTCGTCTGCACTGCACTCGTCAAACGCGTCAGAACGCAGAACGTGGGCGTCCGGCGTTTGGCTCGCGCTTTCGAACGCGTTCGACGAGTGCAGGGGAGACAAAGACAGCTTTAGGTCTGGGCTTTAGGTGCGACCGCTATGGACGACAACTTTTGTTGGGGCACCAGTATGACAAACGTGGGCACCACTTGTCAAGACTTGACACATACCAGCGGCGGATGGCGTCGACCAGAGGCCTTTTTAAAAAATCAAACGTGTAGAGGCTCGGGTTTTAGAGCGCACCCCTTAGGTGCCCGTTTCCGGCTTGAGCGGCGTCGCCGTCGTTGTCGGGGTCGGCGTAACTGCTAGCTCCCCCTCTCCCCCCCCCCCCCCCCCCCCCCCCCCTAGGACCTCGGGAGGACCTCGAGTTTCTTCGGGAGGACCTTGGGCGCACCTCGGGTTCCTTCGGGAGGACCTCGGGTGCTTTCGGTGATCCCGGGGAGGGGGGGTCACGGGTCCCTCCCAAGTCACGTGACCCCCGATGACCTCCTTTCGAAGTCACGTGACACCCCCTCCCCGAGGTCACGTAATCCCTCCCTCCCCCCCCCCCCAGTACCCTTCCCTCCTCCTCCTCAAGAACTGCGCTCTAATTCGGTGTTACAGGGAGTTGTAAACGGCTTTCACTTTTTTATATAGAGCCACTTAAGGAGCTTCAGAACAACCACACTTGGACTTTTTGTTAAACAATTCGTGGTCAGTTATGTCAAGTGTAATTGCAAGCGTCACACAACGCTTTCCCGTTCTCCAGAACTGCTCAAACAGTTTGCGACAGAGCAAAACGATATCGTTTAGGTTTCCTGACACTGTACCGTAAAGTCCAGGAAGCCGCATATTTTTTTTCGAATTGTAACTATCATCAAGTGTGCCGGCACTATACTACGCAACAAAATGGCGGAACCCACAAGACAATCCGGCACTGGAGTGCTGATGCTCTCTAGTGGCTCCAGTCTGTTAGAATGTCAAGACTTCAAGACAAGCTTCACTCCCGAAAAAAAAAAAAAAAAGCAATTTTCTTACAACGTCTGGATTGCGTCCCCAGCGCCCTATTCCGCCCATACACGAAAGTGGTCCTGAAGTAACAACAAGTGACGTCACAAAAGTTGGAGTGTCATGTTGTCGCATGTCGCAATTTACCGTAAAAGCTTAAAAAATAAAAATAAAAGCCCGAGCAAACGCGAGTCTTTTTGTAGCGTCCCAACTGCTGGCAACTGGAGCCTTCGTGGTATGTCAAACTAGAGTGCCAAGTGCAGCGGAGAAGGCACCTGCCACAGCCACCACCGCCGCTGTGACACCGTCAGGATCGCGACCGGCGACCGCGTGACACCCATGCGACGTCATAAGGCGGAAATTGTGGGACATCTTTTTTCGGAACGTGGTAAACGCAGTGGGAGACACGTTGCAGGCACCGCAGTCTTACTCCTCCAACCATTACGAACACAGGGACGTGCGGAGCGCGTTGTCACGTGATATTTTCACTGCGCTGGACTGATTCGTAACATCATACAGTTCATCGTAAAGTGAAACAGACATAAAGAAGTATAAAGAAACTCTACATATAGTGTGATGTAAACCGTGTTGTTAATGATGCTTTTTTTTCCCCAACGTTTGGCGTTTTTCCAAATGATAAGATCGAACAAGTTTACGTCCACGTTCCCGCTCGAGCTCTTTCTTCATTTGCGTCGGCCATCAGTCACGGGTTGTGGTTTGGTTCAAAGAGTTCAATGACGAAGACACGTCTTGAATTAACGCCCCTTCCTGGGTTCAAGAGTTCGCTGACTTGGAAGGAAGCGAGTACTGCAATCTGGTTTGCCTGGAACTGTCTATGAGTTTAAGCGCGTTTGGCACTGACTTTCACGCGATTCATTTCATGCATTGAAAAATACAAGCGGTAATATACTTCAACGCGTTCGTTTCTCTCCAAGAGTTCTGGGAACTGGTACGTCTCTCCGTTTCAAAGTTGCAACGACCTCGGCCATAAGCCAACCATCAATTATTTGTACTCTGCGTGAAGTGAGACAGAAACCCTCGCAGCATGCAACACATTCACGAAACAAAAACATGAGCAGTGTCATTTACCGATTCTCAAACTGCACGTTCTCTCTTCGGGGAATTCTTGTTTTTATCCGGTGCCCAGCACTTTCATACCTGCTATGTTCGATCGGGATCTAAATTCACGTCGTCCCAGGTAACGTTTCTGTTGACCAAGTGGCCCCTGCCTTTATTTAGCCACAGATGCAGTGCAGTGAACATATCCGTAGGCGCCTACAGACGAACCAAAAAATAGGTCGAGCTTAGTTCATCATCTCAGCATAACTAGAAAGTATTCATTAACCGAGAAATTGATTAAGAATTAAAGAGTTAAGTAAAACCCAGATGTTGATGCTGCCAATGTCTTGCTCATGCGTTGCTGCTGCATTCCAGACAAATAAATTTATAAAAGTGTTATGCCTGATTGAAAAACTGCTCAAGATTTTACCCGGGTCATTGCTCCGAGATTAAACACAAATGTTTCTTAAGCGTGTACGGCGCTGGTAGGCATACGCGATTGAGTGCAAACGTCGCAATGAGTACAAGCCACGCCCCCCCATTTCTAAGCTTATATCGTGAGCAGCAGTTGGCTAAGTTTCTGGAATAAACGAAGCGCTAACCTCAATGAATAAGGTGGCAATGAACCAATCGAACAGCACCTGAATCTTCACGGCTCTTAATTTTCATTCCTTTCGAAAAAGAATCCCCTATGAAAATCTGACTCACGCGATCAAGTCGGCACACGAAATATCCCCCGGTGCGCAAAAACAGTCATCGTGCGTGACCCATCAGACGAAGTGAACAACAAAGACGCCTCGCATTCACGTCCGCGGTCGTCTCCCTTCCTCGGACCTTCGCTTCGCGCAGAGGCAACCGTTATGTCATCCCCGAAGAATAGACACCGCCCCAGCGTCCCGAAACAGCGAAGGCACCGGATCGAAGAAACCCCGCTGTTCGAAAAAAGTGAAAAGAAAAAAGGACAAAAGTTTGGCTTCCCGCTACCCGTTGGGGCCTTACTGCAGGAGAGACGACAGACAGACGGACACCTATAGCTAAAACACAGTTTGGCTACGCAGGGTACACGGATGAACCTGTTGGAAGTCGTCATGGGTGCATTTCGGTTTCCGTCTGATGCGGTTACTCTTCGGGATGAGTCGATTACGTCATGAGACCTCGTGGAGTCGACGCCGAGGGTGGATGACCTCTCCCTGGACGTGTGTTGACCTTCCGTGTTCGCTGACGCTGACACCGTTGCCGCCGACGCGGCACGCGCGCGCTCTTGCGCGGTGTTTTGTGTCCCGTCGTACGGGAATAGCGGTGACGACTGGCAAACGTGATAGGGGTTGTCCGGGGAATTGAATAAGCGTTGGCGGGCTTTCCCGTGATTCGTTTTGAGCGTCTTGAGTTACGTCAACTCTTTCTTTCGTGGAATGCCGCTGTGATGAGGGATTATATAATCGTCGACGACGGCAAAGTGGATGCGGCTTCATCCGTGGACGGGCTTTTCGTGTGGCTTATGAATATGTGGCGGAGGAGCTTATCGTTCATAGTTGGTAGTATTCACTCGCCCTATTTACATAAAAAACCCTAACATTGTACCTGTATTACAATGTGAACCACCTAAATTATTAACAACAAGTTTACGCGGGTCCTTGTTTTTTCTGCCTTCGTCTCGGAGTTGGGCAATTCCTATGGTTTCACTTGTAGTCCATGAACCTTCTTCTCTCATTTATTAATGAGAGCTAGGCTACTCGTATATAATTGTAGAATTACCCGGGACTGCGGTGACAACGTTTTTTCGTCGTCGGGTAATTCTGCAAATATGAATCTACACCAGCTCACTCGCGCCCTTACGTTTTACTCGTATATGTCACTGCAAAGTCTAGGATGTCAACCGAACGCCGACATCAAGGTGAACTGCCCTTGCGCAGTTACAGAGAATAACACGATAATCAACTACTCCATTTAAAACTTCTAGTTTTTTAACCCATGCTTTAGCGCGCAGTGCTTTCCACTATCTTACCTCTTCGCTTAATTCTATTGGCATTAGCTATGCCGAGGTCCCAATACTCCGATTCTTTTACTGTAGGGTAAGTATATTGACATGCAAGCGGTTCTGCTCCATCGCTCCCGCGAAGCGATATAGTTTACAGAAGCAAGAGAAATCCCGTTGTCACTCGCTCCTCCTCTCGTTCTACGCAGGGCCAAAACATTAAACTAGAAGAAAAAAACACGCACAGAGAAACTGTGCACAAGAAAACGCCCACCACGATCATTAGGCAGGAATCGCTTAGCGACATCACACGC